CCTGGGGCTCACCTGGAGCTCACCTGGCCCACAGGGGCTCACCTGGCCCACAGGGGCTCACCTGGACTGGGACCTGTTACACCTGGGGAACTCACACCTGGGGACCCCTCACACCTGGGGCCTGTCACACCTGGGCTGCAGGGGCTCACCTGGGGCTCACCTGGACTGGGAGCTGTTACACCTGGGGAACACTCACACCTGGGGAACACTCACACCTGGGATCTGTCACACCTGGGGAACACTCACACCTGGGGAACCCACACACCTGGGATCTGTCATACCTGGGGAACCCACACATCTGGGGAACACTCACACCTGGGGACCCTCACACCTGGGACCTGTCACACCTGAGCTACTGGGGCTCACCTGGAGCTCACCTGGAGCTCACCTGGCCAGCAGGGTGGGGCTCACCTGGGCTACTGGGGCTCACCTGGACTGGGACCTGTTACACCTGGGAAAGCCTCACACCTGGGACTCCTCACACCTGGGGAACCCTCACACCTGGGAATTCCTCACACCTGGGCTGCAGGGGCTCACCTGGGGCTCACCTGGACTGGGAGCTGTTACACCTGGGAAACCCTCACACCTGGGACCTGTCACACCTGGATTGCTGAGACTCACCTGGCCTGAGACCTGTCACACCTGGAACCCTTCACATCTGGGGACCCCTCACACCTCGGGACTCTTCACACCTGGCCTGCTGGGGCTCACCTGGGGCTTACCTGGACCGGGACCTGTCACATCTGGGAAACCCTCACACCTGGGATTCCTCACACCTGGGCTGCTGGGGCTCACCTGGCTTGGGACCTGTTACACCTGGGAAACCCTCACACCTGGGAATCCTCACTCCTGGTCTGCTGGGGCTCACCTGGGGCTCACCTGGAGCTCACCTGGCATGGAGGGGCTCACCTGGACTGCTGAAAACCATCACACCTGGACTGCTGAGACTCACCTGGCCTGGGACCTGTCACACCTGGGACCCTTCACATCTGGGAACCCATCACAGCTGGGGCCCCTCACAGCTGGGGACCTCTTGCACCTGGGGCTCACCTGGCCAGCAGGGGTTCACCTGGGGCTCACCTGGCTGGCAGATCGGGGCTCACCTGGGCCACAGGGGCTCACCTGGTCTGCTGGGGCTCACCTGGTCTGCAGGGGCTCACCTGGGCCGCAGTGGCTCACCTAGGGCTCACCTGGCTGCAAGGCAGGGCTCACCTGGCCGGCAGGGCGGTGCTCACCTGGTCTGCTGGGGCTCACCTGGCCCACAGGGGCTCACCTGGGGCTCACCTGG